GGGGGGGGGGGGGGGGGGGGAGGTGATCACGCCGGAAGAAGCGTCGGAGGTTTTTTTTTCAGGACGTGTGGTTCATTTAGCCCTGGATGGTTGACGGTCAGACAAGGCAGCCTCCCAACCTGTCTATCCACTTCACCCTTGGCAGCGGTGGTTACGCGCAACGAGAGTTAAGGCTATCAAAGGAGTGATCGAGTGGAGCGTATTTGTTGCTGACTATTCTGGGTCCTTTCGGTTTTCTTTGTTTTATAGAAACGTGCACGCTTTGTGTAGGTAGTTGACCTGTGACCACGGAAGGCGATCCGCGCCAGTCGGAACCAGCACCGATGTCAGAAGGAACCAAACAGAGACCAGGATACCTCGGTCGTGCTTTTCTCGTCTCACCCGCTTCTAATGCACCTTGGCCTCCCGAAGCCCCCCCTTTCCGGCCCATGGCCGTCCTCATCGTCCTCGCACGGCTCGCGGTAAAACTTATGCCGTTTGGGGAAACCCCTAGCCCCGTGCCCCCAGCTCCCGCCAGCGAAAGCGCAGCCCTTAACCTCACCTCGATCCTTTGAGGGCACCATCGGTAACGACAGAGGAGCATCGGTAGAGGTTGTGCACGAACGATAAGTCGCAGTAGCTCTTGCTTGTGCTGGAATTTTTTTTTTTAAGCGGAGAATTGGTTAAATCTAGGAAGGTGTAAGTTTACGCGTGCGTTGCTTGGGTTTAGCTGGCCTGTGGTCACCACGGACGTTCGTTTCTGATCCTTTTCGACCGGTTCTACTACCGTTGTTGTCGAGATACAGCAGGGTAGACGTTTCTCTTGACGTCGGCACAACTTGACCAAGAAAAAGAAAAGCGTAAGCAACTTTCCGGGGCAGTCGGGTAACTTTCCAGGGCAGTCAGGTTCGGTAAACAAAATTTCGAGCAAAAATGAGCTCGCCTCGTTTCGTCTATATTCGAACCACACTCTGGGAAAAACAAAAAAAACGACTTGGACAGGCCTCTGACCACATTACACGTGACATTGTTTCTCCGAGCGTGACTATACCTGTGTTTCCACCACCCACCAAGCGACCATGAAAATCACGAAGCCAGGTTCGCCACCCCCTCTTACTCCATGACGAAAACGAACACAAGCACGGAGCCCAACAACGCGTTCGGCAAAAATCAAACCAAAATCTCCGCTCCGCTCTCACCTGTTGGCCAAGAATGCCGCCAGGCCGAATCCGTCCATGTCTCTCAACCACGGAAGCTGCTTCCAAACCTCGTCCCCCGTCGGGGCCGCGCTCGCTGGCTCTCCTCCCGCCGCTCTCCCCCGAGCCAGGCCTGTCAGAGACCCCTCCCCCGCCGGGAAACCCGCACCCGTCTTCCTCCCGCCGTGTGCGGCCGCCGCCTTCCCTCCCCGGCTGCTGCTGCTGCGCTGCTGTCGGGCACCGGTAACGGCCTTTGCCGCCCCAGACGAGTTCGCCGAAGCTTCGGGCTCGTCGTCGCGGAGGTAACGGCCGCGGGAAACGGCGTCCATCGCCAGGAAAAACGCCTCCGAGTCTCGCAGGAACTCCTCCGCAAAGGTCACCGCCGCCGGGGGGTTTCCGTACGCCAGCGCGGCGTTCTCGATGGCCGTTTCTGCGGCGAGAACGCGCCCCGGCGGCGGGGAAGGATCGTCGTGGCTAGCACGATCGAATGTGGTCGCGTGGAAGGACGCCCTGCTGTTGGTTGGGGTGGGTGCGGCGGAGGGCGGCAGCGCTGGTGAAAAAGAAACAAGGGCCAAGTGCGCTGCGGACGCTGCTGTTTTCGCGTGGTGTGACAAAACAAACAGACGGCTCGTTGGGGAGTGCGCTGTGGACACTGCTGTCTTCCCGTGGTGTGGCGAGGACCTTGGTTCGTTTTGGCTTGTGAGGCCATCGGGAGAGCTAAAGGGCGTCACAAACGCGTGTCCGCTCTCGAGCCAAAGATTATTGTCATATCCGAGTAACTTTTGCCTTAAACATCGTCTTCGGAAAGTAAACCTGCTGCAGTCTCACATGCTGCGCGAGGACATTCTTACTGGCTGTTGGCTAACCTGAAAAGCCCCTGTTTTGCACGCCATCCAGAAGGTGAAAATTGGCACAGACAACAATCTCTGTTTTTACTCGGGCCCGCCACACAATTCATCGGCCCTCGCTACTTCTCCCGATAGCCGTCGTTGTCGTGGCAACAAGCGCATGGAAACTGACACAACCACCTACCACAACCACTGCGTTGAACTTTGGCACAACCACCTACTTGTACCTCTAACCCCAACCCTATCCCTGCGTTGAAATTGGCACAAACAACGACTGCTGTACATACCTGGCACCGCCGAGAGCCGGCGACTGCACCTCGAACCGAACCTTCTGCCCCGGAAAGGCCCTCCTGTCCAGCCTCGCCGCCATGTTGGCCGCCAGCGCGCACCACGCGCGGTCCTCGAAGGTGAGGATCCGGGACCGCTCCCCGACATCCAGCGAGGTGAACCACGTGGTCACCCTTCTCCGGAGGGGGGGGGGCTCCGCGGACTTGTTGGAGGTGTCGTCGGGGGCGTCGTGGCGTGTCGCTCCGCCGGGTGGTGTAGGTGGGGGGAGCCCCCCCTGCGGAGGGTCAGCACACACACAGGAGGAGTAACAAGGGAAATGAGGGTGTGGGGTGTTGGGCAGGAGGTAACGGTAACCGCCGTTAGGGTGAGTGAGTGTCGAAGGCTAAGGTCACATGGAGTTAACCGGGTGATTTTCGCGAGAGTGGTGAGTGAACAAGTCTTTTTCCTTATTCGTTGTGCCGGAGGACGAAAACCAAAAAAAAAAAGAGGAGACAACAAGCGCCCAAGAATATTGGGCATACCTGCACGACCCTTCGGTAGGATGTACAAGCACATGCATGCAACACCTAACCGAACACCTGGACAGGGTTCCGTCCAAAACGCTTCAACAAAGCCATCGGGCTGGGTGTTGTCGTCCAGCCACGACATGTGATTCCGATTTGGTCAAAGGAAGCACGAAAGCGCTTACCCAAGACAGACCGGTATGGGCAACAGCTACAGACTTTCTCATTGGCGGTGACGTGGTGGGCCGTGCAGTGTTACAAGCAAGCCTCCGGGAGGTTCAACTCGGGATCCAAAGGCTTGTCTCGCAGGGTGAATGAAGAAAATGAACACCTACAGACCACAGAGCGCACTGTTGAACCAGTGGTATAAGTGTCAAGTGCGCAAAAATCTCATGCCATGCATATGCATTGTAGCAAGGTTCAAACAAAAACGTGTTTTGGATTTTCCATTATCAATTATCACTTGGTTTTACCTACGGAGTCAAGACATAGAAGGTACATCAGTGCTGCTTCCGTGCCGTGCGCTGTTGGTTCAGCGGTAGTCCCCGCGTTCTGCTACAGCAATCCTCTTGAGTCAGTCATTACACTTCGTACTATCGTGCGTGCATGTCGCACGGCACAGCGCAGCTAGCATAAGACTGCCGTCTCACGACCAGAACACTATGTTTGCGGCGTCGCAGCTCTCGACTACAAGCAAGTCTACGCGATCAGCAGTTCCTCCTGCCCATCGCTCGACGATTTTCGAGTACCCACTTTTGTCCGGGAATGGCGTGGGTATATTGTACCCACTTTTGTCAATTCCCCATTCCCAAATCAAGAACTCGAGGCAGGCGTCGACGATATTATGCATACAGCAGTGCCCCGAACGCAAACAAGTAGAATTTCTATGTTACCTCGTACTGTAGACTAGAGTGTCTGGGTCCTTTCCTGCACGCTAGTAAAAATAGTGTGATTCAACAACCCGCGGCAGTTTTGACGTCCGGACTGCTGTGGGCATAACTGGCATGCACACAGGGATGTCGCCTAATGAGCCAACAATCAATGAATGCGGCAGGTGACGGAGATGCTGAGAGAGAGCTACTTCTGTAGTAAGAGAGTGGAATACGCCGCCCCCTCCTTGAACGCGCTCGAAAACCAGTCACGACTCCAGCGATAGCATTCGCACAGCAAAGGGGACAAACGACTCCAGCAATTGGCCTTCTCTTTAGGCAACCAACCTCCAGGCAGCAAGCACCACACGCTCTTGTATTTAGAAGAGGTACCTGTATCGGGAGCTACCACTGCTGGCCTTGTAGACTAGGTTGCATACACGTTCAAAGTGTGAGAGCTACCACTGCTGGCCTTGTAGACTAGGTTGCATACACGTTTAAGCTGTATCAAGTAGCAAGGGCTAAAATATAAACGGAGAATATTGGCAACTGAAGGGCCAGCAGCTGCTTGAAGGTAGTGTGCATTGTCAGCAGCCGCAGAGCAGAGTGAAAAGTCTAAAGAGCAATTAGACAGCGCCTGTATGTGCCGTCTCGGTAGACGTCCAGATTGACGTCTTTGCGGGGTGACATCACCAAACTTGAATTTGTTGGTAACCACTTGCCCTTACCTGATTGCTGGCATCCTCGATGGTCGAAGCATGCCTCAGATTCCCCGCAGCAGTGTCGTGTCCATCAGAATTCATACGATGCTCTGGGGCCCACCGCTCTCTGGCTTCTACAGCACTACGTCGAGAGCTGCTGCAGAGCAACCGAAGAACTTTAGCGGGGGGATACACAGCTCGGATCAAAGTCCTCCCCACAGTCCGCTGTCCGAGGGAGGTGTGCCTCGGACACAGCAGCACTTCAGACTTTTACCGCACCACGCCCTCCCCACACCACACACTATCTCCGCCGCGATGCATGCCTCCAGGGTCCTGTGCGTAGCCGCCGCGGTAGCGTGCCTGGTGTCGACGGCCGCTGCTTTCGTTGCGAGCGGCGGCGGACATGCGGTCCGAACGCGAGCGGCCACGTCCGCTGGACAACAACAACATGTGCAACCAGCAATCCAGCAGCGGGGTGTTCAGGTGCTTGGCGCATCGGAGGAAGGGGCAGGGGAAGAGAGAGGGTTCGTCAACCCATACACCGCATTCAGGAAGTGGCAAATGGATCTGGTGAGCAGCAGCGTTTTAGGGCCGTTTTTAAACAGGTTGTAGACTTGACCGCGAGCGGCATGATACCACCTGGTTCGGTCTTCGAGTCAGCATGCCACGCGATAGCGTTTCAACTTCCCTACTCTCGGCGTTTCCATCTATTGTATGCATCGCGTGGAGCACAACAAAGTGATATAGGCGATGTTATTTTCATGCTGGAGAGCTCACCCCGGTTCACTCATGGTTCTTTAGCGTAGTTTCGAGTCTCTTGTTTTGTGGTGTTTTCATGACAGCGGTATGCTACAATATGTACACCAAAAGACGTGAGCAGCAAACGTCCACATGTACAAGAACATGATTGCTGCTGTTCCGTGTACAGGCGCAACGCAAGTTCGATTGGGTCATTTTTGTTGCGTACTACTGCTGTTCCCTACTGCAAAGGGCTCTAGTCTATACTGTTCCATGCGAGCGCGAGTTCACTCACAGCACAAGCTGGTCTTTTGTCCCACCGATGCAACGAGGCCGCCTAGACTACAGCATCGACACCCCACACGCCACCTGCCTACAGCGAGGCTCGTTTACACCCGCCGTTTGAGGCAGAATGGTTTGAGGGGCATGTCTAACGTAGCGGCTAGTCTACATGACGACGTTTTGATGTAGTCCTTGGCAAACTCGACCCATGTCCCAAGAATGCAGTATGCCGAGGAGCACGCTTGCGCCGTTCCTGTTTCGTTCCTTCCTACTTGTATTCCTGAGCAGTGTACGACACCCGCATGTGCGACCTGCGCGCAGAAATTGCAAGTCTATGGAATAGAGAAGGAGGGGTTGCGTAGACGTTAAGAGCGGTTGCGTAGACGTTAACCCCGGAAATTCCACCGATCCCAAAATTGATCCATATGTTTGCTGAATGAAAGCCTGCGTAGGCTACTGCCAGAGCCGCGGGAACATCGAGACCTCGGGTGTTCTTATATCAAAGACAACCGGCCCAAACTCCCGTGTCCTGTCTTTCCGAAAGAGAAACTCTGCTCGTTGCGAAAGAGTGCAAATCACGACTGTCGTGTGGAGGGAAACTGGCATCTGCTTCTTCAAATTCGCCCGGCCGTTCGTATTGCCCCTCGCATTCCTCCTGACTTGACTTGTCCAGATCGAATCTAAAGCGAAGGGCGATGAGAAGTACCCCGAGGCGTTCGCCGGCTTGATGAAGGAGCCTGGAATGACCACGTGAGTCGAAAGACATTGAGTACGAAGTACCAAAAGTGCGCACCCAGGGTGACGAAAGAACCTTGTCTGCTCTAAATTTTTCGCACCCTAGCTGGCGCTTCCACGTTTGCCCCATCCCCTGCGGTTCTCGACGAAGTGCTTCTTCCGACGCCCAACCTTGGCGCATTTTTTCAGGGCCCCTCTTGGAAACCTTCGTGTGCATGTTGCTGTCGTGGGTTTGAGACGGCAGGTAGAAGGACCCAACATCTGGGTTGAGTTTTCACGTTTGGCTGCCCCTCGTTGCAAAACCCTCGTGTGTATGTTTTTGCGAGGGGTTGAGACGACAGGTAGAAGGACCCCGACATCTCGGTCAAGTTTTCACGTTTGGCGGCCCCTCGTTGCAAAACCCTTGCGTGCATGTTTTCGTCGGTGGGATTGAGACGACAGGGAGAAGGCCGAGCGCTTGGCCAAGCTGTCGGTGAGCGACCCTATCCTGTACGCCATCGAGCGCCGAAGGGAGGCCAACGAAATCAACGAGACCAAGGTGCGCTGGCTGCCCAACGGGGTCGGCTGTCTAGTTACCATAGCTTGCGTAATATGCCACACCCCTTTGATCGATTAACAAAGCTCGAGTACTCCCGCAACGAGGAGGATGCCAACATACAAATCATACGTTCTTAACAATCTCTCCATGTGTGAAAAGCTCTCGATGTGAAGTTCCCAGCACCACCATTTTCAGCACAGTCATCCAGTGTGCTGCAGAGAAATCGGGATTTGAATATAGGTTCAGGGGGTGTGATATATTTTGTAGCCTACGGTAGCCACCGGAAGCAGAAGAGTGTTAACCCACTCGAAAGCACGCCGTTTCCCATGGTGCTCTGCTACCGTAGTAGTAAATAACGGATGCATGACGAGCACCCTGGTTCGAGAAAAAGTGGGTTGCGAACGCCTGCAATCGCGCGAACTGTGTGTAGTCCATCTCTCCCGAAATACACGGTGCGTTCTGGAACGCTTCCAAGTTGTCGGGGCCCCCGCAGGAACACTGTTCGGGGGGCCCGTAGGTCGCGAGCGCGGAAGAGGTGGTAGGCCCCTGCGCTGCGTTGCTAAATATGGGCACGTAAGGCACGGTAGCTCTCGGGAGAACCGTTGGGAACAACGTTGGGTTCTTGCCCCCACTGTAGATGACGGGAAGCGTGTCTCTCGGAGAAGGAAACAGCAGCTGCACAACAGTGGCGTTAGATTGGTTGTACTTTAAGGCGTATTGGTTTCGCAGTTATTCCCGTTTAACTTCGAGGGAAGAGAGTACTGCACTCTTATCGCCTTAAGGCTAAGCACCGCAGGAGGGGTGGGTAGGGGCCTCATTGAGAGGAACCCTCCTGTGTTACTGACCACGAGTTGGAGCTAGAATACCTACCCCGGCGCAATGCTGTGAACGCTCATGAAAAGTAATGAAAAAAAACAAATGTCCAGCGCTGTTCGCGGGGGACGTTCGTTTCCCTCTCGCGGTCTCTGTGGGTGGTTCCTCCCTCTCCATTGGCGGCGTGGTGTGGAGCTTGAAATTGAGACGGCCCTTCCTGAAGCAACGAGAGTTGGGAGCGGTAGCTTGGCCTAGTAATCGATTAGAAGAGCCAATGGCGGTATGCAGTACTCCCTTCTTTCCCTGTCGCTCTTGTGTGGTTGTGACACCCGGCTGCCATTTTATCAGATGGACTCCGATAACATGTCTGGATTTTTAGCCCATTTTCCCCATCGCTTTTGTGTGCGCGTGACACCCCGTTGCCATTATATCAGACGGACTGCGATAGACATCTGGGTTTCCCCCCATCCGCAATCGCTTGATCTTGTTTGTGTGTGTGACACCCGGCCGCCATTTTTTGCAGATGGACTACGACAAGATATCTGGGTTCTTCCCCATGGAGTGGATCATGTCCGGGGACTTCGGGTGGGGCTTTAACAAGAAGAAGAAGCGGTTGGCCGAAGAGGAGGCAGCGCGGGAAGCTGGCAAGAAATAGGGAAAATCCGTCTCTCGCGGTTTTGTGGGTCTGAAAAAAACAATTTTTGTTGTGTTGGGATTACAAGTTTGTCTTTGTGTGACTGAAAATCTCTTGAAAGGAATTTCGTCGGGAGGACGGGGCGTGTGGACACTTGTTTTGTTCTCTTTGATGCTTCGATATTCGGTAATAAGCTCTGAATCCTGAAGCATCAATTTTTTTTTTTGTGTGGGAGCTGTGAGCTGGCGATCGGGTCCGGCGCGCGTGTCATGCGACCAAGATGGGCTCACGGGCCCGTTGGTTTTCCGGCATCTTTCCCGTGCATGCCCAACCTTTGAAGCAAAGCGGCTGTGCATCCACCGCTGCGCTGCGGCCATCGGTTTTACGGACCTCTCACGACGGCATGGCGAGACGATTATGGTATGGGAAGGTGTTGTTTCCGAGTTGGGCGCCGTCGTTGCTACTACTGTTGCAGTCGTGGGGGGGGCAGTTATGTTGTTGATCGGCCGAAGCGTGAAGTTGTCTGTGCCAAAAATAAATTTTACGACAGAGCAAATCAAACCAGTTTGGCTGCGCTACCAATGACGACAACGTGTGCGTACTATAATAGTACGCACTTCAGACCATCGGCCAAAGGACCCGCGCACAATTCGAAGACTCTCATCACCCGGAACTTCGTATCACATAGGTATGAACCGTGTACGAGCAAGAGATAACATCACACGCTAGAACGGGGCTTCGGCATCCCCTCTCGAGCGAGCTCACCCTCTTGTTAGCCTAGAACAAGCGGCTTGCAGTTCTTATGCAGCGCTCAGCGTCTTCCAACCACTACGATAGTGATCTTGATATCGTCAATCGCCGTTCCTCGCTCCCCGACTACAAGTACTGGTACAAAGGAGTGCGGGCGTCGCGTGGTGGCAAAACCTCCCGCCGTCAGCACGCGCGGGCATTGTCACCGCGCAGCGCCGAGAAAGGGGTGTTCCCACCTTCCCCGGAACCGCTTGCAGCCAAACCTACCAGGAACAACAGCAGTAGTTGTGTCCCTTCGTTAAAACAGCCGAACCGATACTACATCGACGATGGATGCGTTCGGCGCCCGTGCGCAACGTACACACTTTCCTGCTTTCGTTACACAGGCGCGGTCCCGATATATCGCGATCCCAAAATAGCGTAGTGCCCGGCATAACGCTGTCAAAATTTCTTGGCGCAACTACTAAATTACTCTTCTGGGATCTTCCCTGAAAGCACGGGTCCCGATACAACAACGCCGTTGTTCTTGTTTGTTACTACAATACACCGCGATCGATATACATCGGGACTTCGACGATGACGCCAAGCTCTTCGCTCGATCGTACAAATTAAATGTTCCGAAAAAGACACAAGCACGGGATCTGTTGCTGCTGCTGTGGTAGGCGCAACGTCTGTGAACCCAGCGTTCGAACGAAAAGCCAAACCCACGCTTGACAGAGTGAGTGGGCGGCTAGGACGCAGCGTTTGTCGCTCCAGTGTTCAAGGTAGGTTCAAAATTAACTTCACCCGAGGATGCACGAGCTGAGGGCAGTGCCAGCCCGTTTCCAAATGGTACCGAGCGTCGTCGTGTCGTTCAACGGTCGCTTCGAAACCTGCACATGACTTCCCCGTCGGCGCCTTTGACCCTGTATGGCCGTCCAAGTTCGGCAGGTTTTGGCGAAGATCGGCGTACTCTCACATGGTACAAGCCAATGCCTCGAGCTGTCGCAAAAAATGTGGGCACACACCCAAACGCCGCAGAGCGCCAACATGCACAACCCGCAACATGTGTGTAACCCCGCCAAGTTCGTTTGAGAAATGATTCACCTGCCATTGTTGTTTCGGGTGCCAAAGACAACAACAAAATGAACCCCCACCATTTCACGCCCGAGCATCCTCTCACTCGACAAAAAAGCACCTACAAAAACGAACACAACGTGCCAGCGCCATCTACACGCTGCTCGTACAACAGAGCACCGTTGTTTTCCACGCACGCCACAACAAAACAGAACGAAAAAAAGACAGCACACATCCAATCAACCAACGCACCAATTGCCGAGGTTCAGAACTCCTTTCGCCACACATTCCCGGGCTACAAACCAAAATTCGAAAAACAAGACACACGATATAAAGAGGGTGCCACGAAACACAATCCCACCCACGCGCGCCCACCCACGCACGGCGTGGTGTCCTCTAAAACAACCGCAACGCGTGGAAATAGCATGCTGAACCGACGAACCCCTCAACCTACAGGCCATCTAACTCTGGCCGTTCGACGAACAGAGCGAGGAGAGTCTCGGAGCAGCCGGACAGTATCAGATTGACGGGTTTCCAGTACGAACAGAGGAGCGTCTCGGAGCAGCCGTAAAGTACCAGATAAAAAAAGTACTAGATTGACGGTTTTTCCGTACCAGATCGACGGGTTTTCCGTGACGCACAAGACAGGAGGCATTTACAAAACACAAAACTAGTTGTCCATCGAGCCGCTGCCTTCGCCACCGTTGTCACCCTCAGGCGCTGCGCCGCCCGCGTGGCGTCCAACCCCTTCTAGAGACAACGCCAGGGCCTGCTGCATAAGCGCCTCGTCGTCGTCGTCGTCATCATCAAGGCCATCTGATCCGCCAGCCACCGCGCCTGCTCCGGCACCGGTAACTGGGGGTGCTCCTGTAGAGGGATGGTGATACAGCAGCACGAAAAGATTGAAAAGGGCGGCGGCAATGCTGTTTCAGGTGCACCGCAACGAACGGCGTCAGTGTTGTTTCGGGTGCAACGAAAGCGCTGCGTACACATGCGTACAGAAGCCAACGCCGGTTGTAGCCAAAAGAAAATAGAAGGCAACGCGTTTTGATTGTGGGCGGTTAAGGGTGAGCGAGAGTCGCTCGGCAGAGGTACAAGTCTGACACTGACACGTACGGGGGGGGTGCGACATGCTAATGGCCGCACTCCTACGAATAGCCCACCAAAATAATCTAGTCACACAATCACCGGAAAACACTCGTTCTCAGTTCGCACGAAGGCAAAACCTTTACTCCAGAAAGGCGAAAGCCCAGCGGAGGTAAAGATATGCAGCGAGCATGCCTAACAACACCAACATGCCTCTCGCCTCGCGGCCGGTCCCCCCCCCCCCCCCCGTCAAACACAAAGAGGCGTAGAGGCGTGTTGAAACAACCAACACGTGCGCAAACTATTAGCAGCCAGGGTAAGCACGTGCAGTTCTCTTCTGGTAGTGCCACGGCAGCTATCTTGAATCCGGCACAGCCTACCCCATGACGCTCCCTCACGAGGTCCCAGATCATGGCCTTTAGTAGAAGCATTTTGTGTTCTACACCGCACTGAGACTGGCTTCTTTTCGCTGGTCAGCCGGGTATGCAGCGCGGTCGACGCT